ACCGTTGGTCGCGTTCGTCGCGGAGATAAACGCATGCACAAGCCAAACGCGTCTATTACACACGAAGCCCTGCAGGAACTTTGATGAGTGGTGTCTATATATACTTCTTTTTTAAGCTAATTATTCTTTGGTGCGATTTGGGGAAGTGGGTTTGGGGCCTATCTCACTGCGGCATTGTATACAAGTCCCATGGTCACAGTTGTCTGAGAGTCAATCGTGGCCATGGGACCTGTTTAGGGCCTGAAACGTTGGTTTGTTTGAAAAAACAAATATACGTGATTTAAATCCGGAAAAATAGTTTCATTTCCTATGTGTAACAGTCGCGAAAACCTAAGAAAAAATTACATCTTTACTTGAATGTACCGATGTACGCTGTGTCCACTAACGATATAAGTACGCAGTTTTCGAAAATTTATCTAAGTTTTTGATGTGGAAGACCTCCTCACACTCGGCTATTGGTGTTTTGTTAAAGCACGAAAGGATTAATAAAATTTAGTACATTTTATTTGTATAGGTTTTTTTGGATGCTGTTTTGAACCACGTAAGTGTTTTCTTAGAGCTATTTGGCGGTCGTTATTATTATTAATAGTCAAATGTATAGTTTTTGAAGTCACGTGACTAATCTCGTCAGTTAATTCTTTTTTCATTGCACGTTTTAGAAATGAACGTTTAAAAAATATCTCGATTTAAAAAAATAGAAACCAGTACTTTCGTTTTCTAATTTGTATGTGGGTACTATTATTACGTCTTCAAACCAAATTTCAGTATTTTTTGTCGAAGTTAATTAATCCAAATAGGGGTGCAAAATATTTTCTAAATATACCAAATGATATTCTATTCTGTACTAGAAGAGCCCAATTGGGAGAAAGGGTGCTTTTCAACTCGACGAGAGACCGATGGTTCGATTCCCAGTAGCGATATGCACTCACAGTTGTCATGACTCTAATTTCTAAGTTGCGTACATTTGTCCATGTTTAGGTAGATGTTAGGAGCAGCAGTGGAACGTATAATAAATAGGTTGATGAAAATGCAAATAGATGTTAAATTCCTAGAGTACAAGCGTTTTTTAGTTATTTGTTGCTTTACATAACAAATAAGTAAAAAAACTCATGTTAAAGTTTAAGGCAGAATAAAGCGAAGCAAGTGGCAACGTATCTCAGAACAATTGCCTCCCGCGTAGGGCTCGAGTTTGGTTTCTTCTTTCTGAGGGGATTTGCTCGGAGTCTTTTCGACCGTTTGCAATTTAGTTTAGCATTTATTACTTTTAGTTAATGGTGAAGGAAACATTTGTCAGGATCCTGCAAAGTGAGGGAGATTCACTGAACTCCACGCCGGTCTTTGACCAGCGCGGCGTTGGTAACAGTACCAAGCTCTAATCTAACCCTCTCCTTGAGGTCCGCATCAGGCGGGACGCAAGTATAACTGTGTGGTTGAGGAGGACAGGACAATTTTGTAACTCGAGTGGTAGAACGGAATATCTCTTCCCCGAGATTGTGACGCGCAACAAACACAAATTGAATGAAAACAACGCGATCCTGACAGTAATTCTATATCGGTTCACTCTTACAGCGACATTGTACGAGTGTTTACAACAGACCACTTGTGAAAAAGTTCAATCCGTGAAGCGCATCGTAATATCTGAACGCTACCTACGTGATACGTTCAGTTAGAACAATGCACTCATCAGTGTTTTGGAGGCTAATCGATCAGTGACCACAATGTGAGTGTTAATTAGAAATCTAGTGGAATAGTTGACAACCGGACCACGGCCGAGCTGCACCTGTTAATGAGTCAATGGCATTACCGGTTTTTGTTTTGGCATATTTATAGAAAACAAATCAAGTTTGCGTCAGCACAGTGACCGCTGATGCGTTTATAATTAATTAAATCTTCTCAATAAAGTAAACACAGTGACGTCACTCGCTGCACCGGTTTCCTGCCGGTCTACCTGGAAATTGGCTGATGGTGACAAACCCGTTTGTCACAATGGGTCTTGCGTAATAATGAGAGTAACGCTCAGTCCACATGAATTTATTGTAGAAGGTATAAATCACATAGTAGGGAAAAGTTGAAAGAAATGGAGAAGAAAGGCTGTAATAAAAAACAATTGTATAAAAACACAGGTACAATAATATAAAACACTCCCTTACGTAAATTACATACGGATATGTTTATGGATGATTAAAAAGTAGGCACTTACCCCAAAATGGCCTGAATTCGTATTAATATTGCTGCTTTATAAGCAGTTAGGTTTACCTTATTCAAGAACACGTCTTTTCTCTCCGAGAATTTTGATGGGAGTGGCAACGGAAAGAAGCGAAATAAGAATGACGAAGAAAAATAACTAGAGAACGCTTCAACATTTTAAAAGTCGGTAAGTGGCCAGGAACTAGAGAAAAGGGTGATAAAAAGGTGGTATGACGATGAAAGACGTCACATCGTCCCACGTTGAAGACAATATGAGTGGGCGACTCGACGACTAGTATCCCGCGATGGACGCGCTCTTCTTCGCTCGTCAGTTATGTGAATCTCTAAAGGGGATAATACATTTCTTAAGGCTTTATGTGTCAGCGATTGGACACTGGGTGTTACTAAAGAACGGTTTGATTCCCTGTAGAACTAATAATGGAAAAATGTTGTGTAAATTATGAAGATTGGGTTCTTAGGTTTTCGCCATTGTTACATACAGGAAATGAAACTATTTTTTGGATCTAATTCGCGTAAATATGTTTATTGAAACAAACCAACGTTTCTGGCCCTTTACAGGTCCCACGATCACTCTGACTGCAGTCAGCTGTGATCATTTGCTATAGGTACATAAGTTGAGTTATACCAGCATTGAAACAGCATTATGGCTTAAAACAGCACTATGCTGAGGTTTCGTCCTTATCATCCACACAATTATTAGAAATAGAAATCAGAGTAGCTCATACTTTATTAGTATATGATTAATTACATATCATGTGATACCTATATTTGTGTGTTTAATGAATAAACTCCCATTTAATTTAGTTGAATTTGTGTGCGACTGTCGCGCTCGTCACTGGGCCATACCCAGCACATGGCACGTAGATAGCGAAAAGGAGCAGCAGTGTTCTGCGGGCAGCAGCCGGCGCCGGCGCAGCGTGCACGTACCTAAGCGTGTCTCGTTAATGCACCTATTGATAGGGACTGGTGCCGATGCCGATCACACGGATATACAGTCACACTACAAGAGACACTTGGCAGCGTAGTTCATAACTATAGGACATGCGCACGGACATTTTTTGTAATCAGTTAACCAATTTTGGTCTTCAGTATATCAGTGTAGAATATAAATAAATAAAGAAAAACAGGAGTGTCTCACGCATTCATGTTTAAATGTAACATAATTAAAATCAAACAACCACTGTTAACATTTTGTTGAATTGTTATTTTATTATGCTCATTAATCATTTGCCAATAGGTATATCTAGGCATCTCTTGTTTGCGCTAAATGCTCTTGGTTCGCGCACTTTTTTAATAATATTGAATCATGCAGGTATGAAGGAACATTATTTCTTCGAGTTGAGCTTTCACTTCGTGTGGCTGTACATCGGCGTGATTGTATTTCGAGTGAGCCATAAATCTGCATGCGATACGGGGGAGGCAAATACGGGGCACCGCGGGGTAGGTAGTGCGTGCGGGGACGGGAGGAGACGGTCCAGGTGCGTGCGGGGGCGGCAGATGTCACGCGTGACGTCACGCGCTGACCCACATTCCGAAATTTCAACCCGCCGTATGTTGAGCCGTGCTTTTTAGACAAGCAGAGAAACAGCACACGCCGGTGCCAGTGGCAGCGGAGACCTCGGCGGCGGCCGGGTCCACCGGCACTCGATTTACAATGCGATTCCACCTGGCCGTGGCGACCGCCGACCCCTCGGTGACACCTATGGCACCAACGGCGCACGAGCCGCACATTAGCGTGTGTAATATTTATAAGGACGGATCGTGAAATTCGGTACACAATAGCTCTCCATTAATACTTATTTAAACATTTTAATCGATTTCTATTCAAGGAATGAATAAAATAGTCTCAAACATCTTAATCTTTTTAGTTAATACCTACCTATTAATTTCTTTAAATGAAGTTCACCTATTGTTAATCAGAGCACGGATCTCCTAACCGATATGTCTGCTCATCTCTGGACCAAGGTTTGGGTCTCATACTAAAGTAAGTTCCAAAGAACTCAGAGGTGCGAAGCAATCATGCGTCGGACAATCAGTCGTAATTGCTTAACTTAATATTTGACAAAGCTTTATGTGAAGACCTTTAGTCCAGGATTAGTACTTACGTAAGGTGCTTATACAATGGGCGGGCGAATTACTCACTGATAATATTTTCTAATGTATGTGTAAGGTTGTGGAGTCGAGTGGAGAGACATTAATTAGTCGAGTGAGTGATCCGAGAGCGAGTTCAAGTTCGCCCCCTCCCTCCCCCTACCCGGCCACTGCCCGCCACAACCACCGGAGATATACTTAGTACACGACGTTATTTTTCAAACGAGAGATTTATATTTCCCATGCAGTTGTTGCAGCCGATATTTACCTAGATCCGTAGAATATTTTCGACGCCGCTGCGGCAATCGAGTGTCGAAGAAAAGGAATCGGGGTATGAATGGACACTTGAACAGTTTTTGTGAGAAGCAGCTTTTCTGACGCGATGGCCGTATTCCTTTGTTGCCGACGACGCCAAGAGGAACGAGGCGGCCATAGCGGCGGAGGGTCGCGCGTATGTAAAACGGCTTGCGGAGGAAAATCCATAACGGCACGCGGAAAACCCTTTTAATATACGGCACGTAAATAAGAGCGTCGGCGGTAAGCGCGGGGCGCGGGACGCGCGCGCTGCCATTGGTGGCTGCGCCGCCCCGCCCCCGCCCGCGCCTAAAAAAATCCTCGGAAAAAAGGCGCGCTTGCACGGCAGTGTCTCACGGACGCGCGCTGTGGGCGGACGGCGGCAGCGTTAGAGACGGCGCGACCCAGTACCGGCGGCCGCGGCCGCGCCATGCCCGCGCTGGCCTTGCGCGACCAGCCGCTCGACTGCTCCATGCGCCTGCGCGATCTGCCCGCCTGGCCGCCGCCGACCGCGCGGCCACTGCACCAGGACCGCCACCACGGTCAGTACTCCATGCACCGACTCCACTTCTCCGACTCGCTCTTCCGGATGAAGTGGTGATCGTTCCACCGAGGGCGAACGTCGACTCAGTGTTCAGTGTAGTGCCCGGCCGCACCTGCCATCGCGACCGGCCTCTGCGACCCGCAGTAAACAAACAGTGAGCCCCTAAGCCGCCCTGCATTGTGTCGCAAACAGATCCCATTCATAAAGTCCGCCGTCGGGTCTTACAGCGCTTTGATCCTATTCTTTACCGCACGACCCCTCGCGACCACGTGTCTCGGGGGTCAGATTCGAGAGCTCGATTATTGTCGTCCCTCCGACCCCACTCCGGGGCTGTACAAATTTCTACTGATATCGGATGTCGACAAGACGTTTAAGTAATGTAGTGCAGTGCCGATATTTCGTGACTCTGTAGGCGCATTCGCATCCGCGGCCGGCGCGCACGCTCCATTGTAAAGCTATTAGGCATACACCACCATTTTGGTGACTTTATTGTTTAATTTACTTCAGTCTTCGTGCACCTTGTGCGTGAGTATTTGCAGAATACCTTTTTGAATTGCCTCTCGATATAAAGCTATAAAAGGTTGTGCAAACTTTGCTCGGCAGCACTGTTTGCCCTCCCCCATGCTCCCGACGCGAGCAAACATATTCAGGAAGTGTATTAAAACAAAATGCTCTTGTAGCGCACAACCCTTCGACATTAATTCACGAAATTATTTTATTCACTTCGGAGTTCCTAAGGTGGGGGATTTAACTGTTGTTTTTATAGTTTCTCAAACTTTTTTGTGTACACGTTTTTTACCGAAATAGTCATTATTTAGTAAACTAAAGTGTTTCGATGTGTGCTTCAATATTGTGTAGTACAAACTCTTCGTATTTTGCGACCATACTTATGTGTTTGTTCTTTGGATATTGCTTTTACGATACTCGTGCATAGGCGATTTGAATTGAGATTTGAAATGAGATATTTGTAAAGAAATAACAGTCCAAATATATCCCACAGTTTCACATTTTTACTCATCAAACAAGTAAGCGTGTACGATTTTAACATCAACACAAACCCATACTTCAGTAAGTTATTCAAATTAAAATTTAATTAAACAAATATTTCACCTTATTAATTTCAACGAAGTTGTAATATGCATGCACCTTCGTTTCCGTGTAATAATTTGTGTCGACTGGCCTGGATCTAGGAGAAAATACATACCTGTACGCGTTATGAACCAGTCATTGTGATAGACGTAGGCCGCAAAATATGGCGTTTTTGTTGTCATCTTCAACTGTCCGAACGCAAATGTTTTACTCCAAATAGCAAATTTAATACAAATTGTGGCTTTATAGTTACTTCAAAAACCCTTTGTCCATAAATGTAATTTAATTAATGGAGATTTTAACTCATAACTTCCAACGATATGGTACTCAAAAGGTGTTTGTTAAATGTCAAACGTTAATACCTTGAGACCGTAGCAAGCTATGACTGTTATGACTCTACCATGCGTGGCAGTGGGCGCCGACACGCGGAGAAGCCAAAACAAATTTATAGTCAACACTTTATTTTCCACCACCACGATCTGTGCACAATAACGTCGAATAAGAACACACTGGCCGCTCACCGAATGTGATACAGTGGAATCGAGCCGAGAATTGAACAACGACTTGATTGTGTGAAAATTATTGTAGGTAGTTAGTTACTCATTTGTATCTACTGTTGACATCACATGTCATCTGATGTATACGTTTAAAAATGTTCCAAATTGGTACCTGAACCATTCAAAAGGCACCATTCGAAATACATAGTGGAGCGAAATTACAAAAATTAACAAAATTGTTGTAATAATGTTAGTTACTTTTGCCCAAAATCGTTTATTAATTTAACTTTAATCATGCAGTTAACCGCCTGTTTTCTTTAATATTCTTTAACTTCTTTAATATTGAAATGAGTGTGTGTTCGATGACTACTTGAAAGTACTATTTACATTTTTTTAAGTTTTATAATTTGTGTTAGGTAATACTTGAATCAAACGGCTCGAATAACAACATAGGCGTAGGTATTTATTTAGTTCTATGAAAGAACAAGTTTAGTTTATTTAAAAGAAATTGAACCCTAACGAGTAAAGCATGAAGAACGTCGTTCACACATTGCGATATTGATGTCCGAAAGGCGGCGCGCGGCGGCGACGCGGGATCAGTTGCCCCTTTTATGTCCCGTTATTACATGTATGTCTATTATGAACGGTACAAGTGCAAACACGGCGTCTGTCGCCGGCTTGTTTGGAGTGTAATCCTCCAGGAGCGGCCGACAGGTGCCGCCGAGATTCGGCGCAAGGGTTGCGTCCCGCGGGCGCGGTGGCCGCAGCCCTCCACAAATTATATTAACTCTCTTTATGCGCGCCTTTTGTCACCCGCGCCCGCTCGAGTGCCAAATCACTTCTTTGACACGCCCCACATGCACTTCACCTTTTTATTGAGCTTCGGCCGAGCCTATTTCGTCCGGCTCCTTTTTCTATCACAAACTTATATTAAATGTTTAATAGACATTTGTTTACCGTCGTCCGACAGCACCGCACCTCGAGTGGCGCATTGCATGTGAGGTGCACAGCGGCGGCGGAAAATGTCTCCATTTTCTTCCGACGCGCACAACGACATTCGGCCGTAATTGACTTTTTATGTTACCCTCGAATTACAACAAAGTAACAATTGAATTAGCGGCAAATGATGATAACGTAATCGATGTAAAATCGGTGTACACTTTCTAAGGCAATGCGACGCGCGCGTAATGATGTCGTCTGGTAAGTAAATTAGCGGTGATGGAGTCACGCGTAGTTTACTGGTGTAATAATACGGCTGTTGCGTTATTCGGGTGGTAATGGCTGCGCGCGCGCAGTTCGACCACTGGTACTGCCATGCCACTCTGGGAGCGCCGTGAACTTTGCGACTCATGCACACGCAACGCGCTCCCGCCGCGCGCCGGCCGCTGCCGCTGCGGCGGCTCCGCTCACGTCACGCGCGCGCGCTCTAGCTCGGCCCGTCTCTGGTCGCCTTTTGCTTCTGAATGCTAATGCTTTTCAAGTGTGATATCAAGGTCGTGCGCCTGACGGTAAACGACACGCCTGTCCATGACTGTTGCAGTGCCACTCAGAGCTTTGAATCGCAAAGGCCTGAGGGGCACTACCACTGCGCCCGTTACCCTGAGAAGTAAGTTGGGCAATCCCATGTGCTTCTAATTTCACTAGCACCCTTACCATTTAAAACCGGAGTACAGTAATTCTCACATTACTGCTTGGCGGAGGAAATAAGTTAAGTGACAGTACTCCCCTGGACGAATTCATTGACAAGGACATTGACATACTGCTATTCTAATCTGTCAAGTCGCCTCGTACTGATAATTATAGTCGTCATAATATTTCAAGTTTTGTTTAAATTTACTTTCAGTACATTTTCGTTTGGTTTAGACTTCAAGCATTATTCTTCTGAACCTGTTATTTGAATGCCACTTGTTTGTTGTATTTGATTGAAAAGTAGTTTCTGTGACAAACCACTTGACATACGGAAGGATAGCAAAGTCTGTCACAAGGATTCCTTTTTTACTTTTCACGATGGTGTCGGAACCCTTATAACGGTTCGTCCGTGTGTGTTTATTATGTCTTATGGATGCAGACTTCTTGTCTCTAACCTCCCGGGGTAATAACGGCGTCGTGTGTCGAGTCGCTCACTCACTCATAGACCGGGAACCATTCGTTAAAATCTTTGTTCATCTACTAACACTAAACTTCACGTTGAATAATTTATACGGTAGTGATTGTTATAATTTATGGCCGGTGGCGTCGGGGGAAGGGGGAAGGGGTGGGGGAAATACAATTACCATTATGAACATAAATATTCGTGTATATCTTATTACACTTATCTCACTTATTAATACTAGCCTAATTAACTTATGTTAATGGCGCAAAGTCGCTGCATTCGCGGCGCACGAATTATACGCATTAATTAAACAATGTGAGGCGCAGCCGCGGCTTGTACTTTATCGCTCACTGTAAAGAGTTTGGACAACAAATTAAGTGCGCACACGCAATTATGATAAAATTAACGTACCGTAGTTTCAGCGATTGCCGCCGTCGCCGTCGCCGCCGCAGCCGCTGCCCGCCGCCGCCGGCGCGTTGCCCGTCGTAAAGAGGCCGTTTGAATAACACCAAATTAATAGTGACCACTCGCTGCTCGCAATAATCCATTAACTTTATTGTATTTGAATTTACATAATTCTTTTATTGTGCACTTAAGAAGCAATAAACTGCAACTCCGTTTAAAACGAATGGTGCGGTTGTAATGCGAGTCTCTCCCGATCCGCGCTCGTGCGTCCTCGATGCTTGTAAGGATTAGTTGTACATTGATTCATTTCTGAAATATTGAGCATTTAATTAGCTGGTCGTTGCGCTGCGCAACCCTCAAGGCATCGCAGTTCGCTATGCGCTGTGTGGACACGTGGATCACCGGTCACCGGTGGCCTCCGCTGCGGCGCGCCGTTGTGCACTGCGTGCAGTTGATTTCTAAAGAAATCGAAACACTTCAGTTGACACCGTCGGCCGTACGTGAGGTCAACAATGTTTACGCTGTTGTATGTGATGTGTTAGGTTGGCGCGGTGCGGTACACGAAACGGGCTGTTGAACTTGTTCCCTTTACTACAATCGATTTTCCGATATAGGCCGGTGGTGTTGTGCCGCTAGGCGCCGTGAGCGAAGGTCTGCGTGACCCACAGCCCCGCACTCCTCGCCCCCGCCACTCCGCGCCGCAGCGGGGGCGGGGGTGTGACGCAATTAACCACCCGGGGTCAACCACCTCGCTTCTTCCCGTGTCTGCTCTCCACCGAAATTGCCTCTACGTTGTTTTCCAGCTGTAGTCTGATCTCTTCCATGCTATAAACGTGACGTAACATGACTTCAAAATAACGTAACCCATACTTGTACTATACTGTACTGTCAACAATGGTGTCCTATAAGCCAACATCCCTCAATTATACAACCTCGATTGGTTTAGAGGTGACACCCTATGTAGTGCAATAAAAACTTAGACATCAGGTTAGACGAAAATTCAAATTTTTTAGCTCTACAAGTTGAAAAAAAATATGCTTATCCAGCTGTTATCTCTAATAATGGATTTGAACGAACGAAGCTCTCTCTTTGAATCGTAACTTGATCAATGAGTAAGTAGATTTTGCTAACGATACCACTGATTGAGTTCGTTTGTACCTACTGCGTAGACGTTTTGACCAAAGAAGACGCCACTCTTGAGTAGACAGAGCTGCGTTTTTAGATGGTAACATTTAAAGAACACATTGATGCTTTGAGCCGTCATGATACGGACTGCGATGAAGCGCATTCATTTGTTTATTCGCTCTCCGGTAGACATGTCTATTAGCGTTCCGTGAAATCCACATTTCATCTTAAGCATGAATATCGTTGATGCGTGGAAGTTACGCGGGGATTTTCGATACGTGATCGAGTGTTTCCAATGCTCATTAATCAGTCGAAATCATTGTCGTGCATGTGTCATAAACGCATGAGCTTATTGCGGCGTTTTTGCAGTCGCGCTAATTATCATTTTAATAGTACGTCGTCTCTCAGGCTGTTAGTGCGCTCTGCCGCGCCGCGCCGCCGCTCTCTACTGCGTTTGCGCTGCGCTCGCTGAGTGACAACATTTCGTGTTCCACATTTCAACTTACCGTTGCCGCTTTGTCCTCGTTGTGTTTGCTAGCTACGTCAGTGAGGTATGTTCCACTTGCTCATTTCAATAATCGAGTGTCTATTATCTATAGGTAAGGTAATATAGCGAAAAAATGCATCTCGACTGAATCGAATCGAGATTCCTAAGCAGTTTTCCATTCTCATTGTATTATTTTGTTCAGATGGACTATACCCGTACAAACAGTCACGATGACGCAGCGGCAGCAGCGGGCGAGATCGCGGGTGCGGCAGACATGTGTCGCGGAGGAGTATGCTCGCACGGACGCTCTTTGCCCGCGATTAGCCTCCCTCGCCCTCTGACCCGCGACGTCCTGCGTCCGCTGCATACACAATTATAATAACTTTAAACTGACCGCCGTGGTACACGCGCCCCGAAGATCACGATAAACAGTTTGTCGGACTCGACCGATTTACATTCACCCGACGTGCTTCGACGAAACGCGAGGCGAAGGGCGGGACGGCCGGGACCCCCCAGCTCTTTCTTCACCCAAATTGGATTTAAACATTGCGAATTACATTCTTTGATTCGCGGGTTATCCAAATGGGGACGATTTATGGAGTAGCGGAGTAGGTTTAGGCGCGGTCCCGGGGGAGCCGCGGGTCGGCGGCGGCGTCGGCAGTATTTCACGCGGCCGGCGATTTAGTGAGCGCCGCCGTGAGCGATGGCCGCCGGCCGCCACCTGACCCCACTTTAAATAGAAGCCATCCCAAATGCATCGTTTATTTCCCGGTCTGTTAATGTGATGCTATCTTTCAGCCCTCCTCCCCTTCAGGAGTGTCGTAATCGAGCGCAGATAACAGAATATCACAGCCCCGCAGGATTAAGTTGGAGGTGAGGGTCGCTGCAGCCGGACTTGCCTAGTCGAAATAAATTTTTGTTGTTTTTGCGTGTATCGGTATCGCCGAAGACACGAGCCCGGTACTAGTAAATTTGAGGGCATACAAATTGGATAAAATTGTGATCATAAATTCACAAAATTGCTGTAGATAAACGGAAGTTAATACGAAGGAATTATTCGGCTCTTAATTTTCGTAACAGAATGAAAAAAATAAATTTATGACAAGTATTAACAAACATGTTACTAGTACACAAAGGCCATTTCTGCTTCTGGTGAGCAACGGATTACGGCTCCGTCCTTGGCCAAGTTCTCCGAGTCATTCGGGAGGACAGAAAAACACGGTCCATCTAATGTCGGAAAAGGTTCATCTACCGGATAACAGCTTTGACCGTAGATATAATGGCTTTAACTTCATGGCTTGACAGTATAGTAGGTACATCAACATCATCGTCGTTAAACACGGATCTCTTTCATAATATCCACCGTACCAGCAGGTCTAGTATGTCGCTTCAATTGTACATTGTGTGTTACGCTGGCGCCAGTGGTGGAACATAATTTACTTTGGTGTTATTATAGGTATATTGCGATGACGAAAGGACATTGACTTGACGTTCGTTGCGACTTTAACTTTCGTGGAAATGTTCCACCGTAACTTAGTTAAGTGTTATCTGTAATTACGTTATAACATTGTTGTTGCAGTGGCGGGCCGGGCTGACGTCAGCAGCTTCTTCAATACGCAGATGGTGTTCGACCTTAACGGTGAGTACATACGGTGAACTTTGCTTTGTGCAGGTGTCCATCCGCAACGCTTATTTGAATTATTGCGGAAGACGCGCCCGAATACGCCATTATCTGTGTATTAAGTTTTTGCGTGTGACTGGTGCGTATTCGAATTAACCGAGTGAGTTACGGTTTCCTCAATGGGCACTGCCGCTTCGATGCCGCGTTGTCACGGCATCGTCACCGCGTCGACGCCGCACCGTCGCCGCTGGAGCACGATTCCTCAGCGGTCCATTCCGCGCGGGAGCAGCTGCCGTGACTCGCCTCTAGACAAAAAGACGACATAATTAAATTAATACAAATTCACAGCTGAGCTGCTTTTTGTGTGGCGACACCGAGACATTTCTAATTTTCCTTCGGAACCATTTTTTATTCGCGTTCATTACGGGATGAATGGGTCGCTGCCCAAAAAAACGCTCGCCGGCGACGCTTCGGCAGTTTTTGTATCGCGCGTGCTTCACGAAACCCGCGGCCTCGTCACGCGCATTGGCATCTGCGTGACGACCAATACCCCCGGCCCCCCCCGCTCACTTCACTGTCGCTTATTCAAATCGCCGTGTCACTAAAACCCGCAGCATCGACATTAACGAGATTTCCCACCTGACACTGTACATTGTCGCGTCCATTTCTTGTAAACGGAGGTGTGTAGTGGCCAGTTGTCGCGTCACGCGGCGTCGGCGACACGACGCGACGTGAGACGATGCGAGACATGGGAATTGACGACGCAATGTAACGCACGTCTGCAAATAATAAAAATTACTATACTGGTATAGAAATGATTACGACACCGAGCTGCGCTAAAACTACAGAAATATTATTTAATGAAAGGCTTAGGGAAGTAGTGGTGTACATATTTTTCATGCTTATAATGAAAGATACATACGTGACAGTTTGTTAATTATTATTTTTTTAATGAAAAAAATCATAAATTAAGTCACCTGGATCCACATTTTATTAGTTAGTATTTCATTCATGACTATGTTATTACTGTGGGAGCGTAGCCATGGGCTTAGCGTTGCGAGGTGTACTTTTTAATAAGAAACGAGGAATATATTCATAAATAAAGATTTACTGCGTGCGTTCAATTTGAAGATTTGTCCGGAACTCTCCCGATGTTCATTGGACAACAACCTTCTATTCTTTATACAATTCTAAATATAAATTAGTATAACCCTAGCCAGCCTGCTACATCCCTCCTCCTCATAATTGAAGGGGGGTCCTCACTGTAAGACAATGCCCTACCTATGATAGACAAACTTACACATGTGATCAGCCTTTACTATAGACTAGCCATACTCGGCTTGGAAGCCGATACACCATCAAAGAACGAAACTACCAAGGAGGCTATGGCTTCAATCTGCCAAAAACCTTTCAAAAAGGACAGACTATGATCACACCCTAAGCCAACCACTCAAATATATTTACTCATTAATCTTCCTAGCTATTTATCTAAGCTTCTCAAGCCAAAACCCTAGCTATTTAGATATTCCAGCTAAACTCTATTTATATTAAACTAAACCTTATCTAACCTAGCCCAATTAAAAAAGCCTTTAATTGAAAGAAATTTTAATTAAAATCTTTATTTGAAAGAAGAAACATTACATTTCATTACGAAAACAACATTTCCAAATAAATAATCTCCAACGTGTATGCTGTTAAGACGACATCTCAGGCCTGAACATACATCGGATGCTCACTCGGTTACATCAATATAGATCTCCCAGCTGCCTTAGTCCTCGCCCTGCAGCTATCCACGTTCCATCAGATTTTCGTACTTCATTTGGACAAAGCAAAGAACACGCAAATTATCCTAACAAAAAAAAACATCAGGAATAAATATGATATGATGATATATCATATTGAAGACTTATAATAATTAAATAAATATATTTTCCATTGAATGCAGATAGTTCTTGTTCATCTGGAGGAATGATCAACAACCATACACATTTACACAGCTTAATATACGCATGAAATCAAAATAGGTTATATTTATCCAAGTTAGAAATCCATTACCTCCTGTCCACCTATGATAGCATTTATTTGCATTCGCCAGAAAGTCTTCTACCCTACTACAGCATCATCACCGCCTCTTTGTTCTCTCCATATGAAAAATAAACGTAAAAGATTAATGAACATATAAAGATAAAACATAAATAAGTTATTACCTATTACAAACAGAAAATTGTTAAATTACCTACTAAAGAACTTCGTTATTCTATTTACATGAACAAGATCTTGCCTACCAGACCTACTCACACCTATTTTCCTTACTTATAATATAGTTAACTCTACTCAACCGATTTATTACCCTATACGGCCCTTTCAATAATCTTGCTAGCCTTCCGCTTCTATTGGAAACCCTCCTAGGACAATACAACTTCAACAAATTTCCTGGACGATATAAAGCAACTTTAGCTTTCTTATCAAAATTTATTTTCTGTTTTGATCGCGTTCTTGCCGTCCGTTCCTCACACGCATCAATCAAGGCTGCTCGTTTCAAAACCCTATCCTGTAAATTCTCTGAAACACTTACACAATCAAATCTTACACGTTTAAAGATACTATTTACCAGTTTATACTTCTTCTTCTTCTTCTTTTAAATGTTGTGGCCTCATCGAAATAACCAATGATTTTGCCAATGTCAAGTAAAAATAACTATGTACGGTAGTTTAGTATTATTATAAAAATTATACAAAAAAAATGGCGATTTCGCCAATGTCTTGTATACGTTAACTTACGCTCTTGACGCATTTGACAACTCTTGCCACTCACGTCAACTATTTTCTTTGTTTCTGGCAATTGAACAGAGTGTACATACTCCGACCTATTCAACGATAAGTTATTACAACTTTTTGATACCGGCCCGATAGAAGAATTTTCTTCCCTCGACATGACATCAGTCATAGAATTGAAAGAAATTTCGACATTGTCATTTAAATTAATTTACAACAATGCAAAATTACTAATTGCTTTATTTGCCCTGAAGAAATCTGCCCCAAGATAAGAAGTTCCTCATCATCTTGCTATACAAGCAAACTTGATGGACATTTACTTCCATTGATTGTCAATGAAACTTTGGTGGACGCTTGCTCTTTTAATGGCGTTCCGCCAAATATGAAAAATGGAAAATTCGGAACTTCTTCGATCCGTAAACGTAACCTTTCTGCAAAACAATGAGAGATTATCGAAACCGCAGCACCTGTCTCCACCAATGCGTCGCATTTCACATCATTAATAAAAAGGGTTACAAAAGACTATAGATATCTACATCAAGACTATCAACTGTATTTAAATTTCCTGAATAACCAGCTGCGCCTTTATGACATCCACGTTGAGGATATCCTAACCTGACTCTCTGACCAAAATCGTACTAAAAATAAAAATAATCGTAATAAAAATCGTACGCATTTCCTCTCAAATTTTAGCCTCTACCATTTGTGGGAGCGTAGCCGTGGGTTTAGCGTTGCGAGAGGCACTTTTTAATAAGAAACGAGGAATATATTCATAAAGTTTTCAAACCCCTGTATAAAAAAGGCGATAAGGAAAGCCCAAGTAACTATAGACCAATAACTTTAATCCCGACTCTATCCAAATTATTTGAAAGTGCTCTGCATTCCAGAATAAATGCATTTTTAGAGAAACATAAAGTAATATATCACTCTCAATTCGGATTCAGAAAAGGTAGTTCTACAACTCTTGCATGTTTTGAGTTTTTGCGCATTGTAACGGAAAGTATAAACGTCTCTACTCCTGTAATGTCAGTCTTTCTAGATATGACTAAAGCCTTCGACTTTGTAAATCACTTAAAACTCCTTTACAAGCTTGAAGCATACGGCATTAGAGGAACAGCCCAAAATTGGATAGCGAGCTACTTCAAAAATCGGACACAGTATACTGAAATAAGTAGATTAACAAAAAACAAACACAATAATAGATTAGAAAAACAAATTTTTAGATCACACCTTAAGACGACTAATGCTGGAATACCGCAAGGTAGCGTCTTAGGTCCGTTACTGTTACTCTACATTAACGATCTCCCACATGCTATTGATCATAATTGTATACAATTTGTTGACGGTACAACTCTTATAATAAAATGCCAAAACAGAGCGACTTTTAAAACTGACGTAAATAAAGCACTGACAGATGTAATAAGTTGGATGGACATCAATGACTTGAATATAAGTAAAACCAAAGTTATGACATTTAGATCTTACAACTCAAATCCCATACCGGTTAAAATTAATTACAACTCTGATACTGTAGATGAAGTAGACACATTTAACTTTCTTGGGTTAACAATCTACAAGAACCTTAACTGGAAGGAACACATCGAACAGATGTGCATGAACCTAAACAGATTTGTTTACGCTTTACGAAGACTAAGGCAAACTGTCTCGCGAGAAGCTGCGTTGACGGCCTATCACGGCTACGTTTCGTCCGTGCTCAGCTACGGTATTGTATTATGGAGTAACTCAGTAATCTTGGAAAGAGCGTTTAAAGTCCAGAAGAAGTGTATTCGAGCAATTTGCGGTGCGTGGTTCGATGACAGTTGCAAACTGCTGTTTAAAAGGCTGAACATATTACCTTTGCCATGCATGTACATTAGGGATATCTGCGTATTTGTCAACTCTCATCCTCAATATTTTAAAACACGCGGTGAAGTCATTCAAAGGCAAACTAGAGCAAAAATTATGAATCTCTTATACCAACCTCGTGGCCATAAAGTAATTTAGAAGAATAACTGCTTCAACATGTGTATAATTATTTACAATAAATTACCAAACGAAATTAAATTGTTACAAGGACATACTTTTAAATTAAAATTGACAAAATGGCTTTTGACACATTGCTTCTAAAGTAATAAAGAATACTTAGAATTTACAAATTCATTACATTAACTAGAAACTATAGAGACTAAAGTAACATTGAATCCCATTAATATTTGCACATCTGCTTGCAGGTTGAATACAATG